GGTGGTGGTGTGTTGGAGCATCCGCCGCCCCTCTGCCTTCAGGAGCAGGGATTTGGTGCAGCAGGCACCGAAGGAGGATTGTTCTGAAGGCTGAAGCCATAGCGGAGCTGCGTGTGCCCACCTGCGTTCTCTTCAGGCTGGTGATGTTATCTGTCTCTGGATTTCTTTTCATGCGTCGCTGACAGCAGGCAGTGCTCCTACACCTCCTCAGCAGAGGTGGAGTGTTACCATCTGTCACCGTGTGGGCAGCAGTCATCCCAAAAAGTAATGGCAGTGGGAGTTGTTGCCAGTTACAAGTTGTGATCACAAGCCAAATGGCGCACTTCTAAATTAATACGTTTCCAAAGGGAAAGAGGTGCAAGTGTTTATTTTTGCCAAGTATTTTCAGTGGCGGGCACTCTGCTGGGGTCTTGGCTTGGTGGCATTCAGTGAGTGTGTGAGGGACCACCGCCCTCAGTGCAGTGATATGTGGGGAACTGAGCCCGTGCAGGGCTGCAGATGGGGGTCTTGTAAGAGTGTGAATGATGGAGTGGCTCCCGTTGGCTTTGCCTGATGGGAACTGAAGGATGTGGTGTTGTCCTTTGGCACAACCAGCCCTGAGCAGGGCTCTGCTGCTGCCCTTGGGTCATAGGGAAGTGCCTGGTGGGGTGCGAGGTGGGAAGATGCCCTGTGCTCAGTCTGGTTGGTTGGAAGGGTTTATATCACATCCTTGGGCAGGGCACCAAGCCTTCTATAATGCTTATACAATCACTTATCAACAGGTAGAATGCGCTTATCATTTAGAACTGACTACCAGTCACCTAAGCTAAGTTTTAATTAGAGAGCCCAGATAGAAGATGTCTCATAGGCAGGTGGAAGAGTTGGAACTGATCTTTTTTTTATAATTATTTTTAAATATGGAATTAAAGTAACAACAATAGGTGAAGATAATGTGACACATCTCCTTGGTCCCCCTTTTCCTTCATCATGTTGGATCCTGATGGAGGGCAGCTGTGGGTTCAGCATCACTGACGGCATCAGAAAATGATGGTCATTACTCTTCAAATAGAGGCATTTAGAGAATAACAAAAAGGAATGCCATGACAACCTGAGCCTTACAGATGACCCTTCCCATGCATTTTCTGTTCATAAGGATGTAAGGGGAAGAACAAATATCCTGGGATATTTGTATTTGGATACAAATAACCTTTGGAACAGGTTGCCCAAGGAGGCTGTGGATGCCCCATCCCTGCAGGCGTTCAAGGCCAGGCTGGATGTGGCTCTGGGCAGCCTGGGCTGCTGGTTGGTGACCTGCACACAGCAGGGGGTTGGAACCAGATGAGCACTGTGTTCCTTTTTAACCCAGGCCATTCTGTCATTCTGTGATTCTATGATCCTTGCTCAGATGGCACGTGGAGGCTGTGCAGAGCCTCCGTGGGGCTGAGCCATGGCACCACTGTGTGGCTGTGAGCTGCGTCACCAAAGCGTGGTAACAAATGCAACAGATGGATTAACTCAGTTTAGTGGGAAATCTGTGCAACTGTCCATAAGCAAGCATTGCTTCTGCAATTCAGAAGGAGAAGGCTGTGACAGGCAAGGCCTGTAGGTGAGGCGTATCTCACCCACGTACAAGTAATGGGAGCTGATCTACTGGAAACGCGATGCTGAGCCCAGAGAGCATCCCTGAGCAATTGGTATCTCGTAGATTCCCATCTCAGGGGAGTGGAAAAATGCCATGTATGGATTAATTGGAGTCAGAGATGGATGTAGATAAGGGCTCTGACGGCTCGTTGTTGTTTGTTTTGGGAGATGCCATCTGCACGGGGAGATGTAGAAGTGCTGAGCTGACATTTCCGAGCTGAACAGCTGATGTGTCTGAGACATCTTCCAGTGTGGGATGGAATGCTTCGATGTGAGCCCATCTGAAGGAATCCGTAGCAGTGCAGGGAAATGCCTGCTTTGAGTTGGTTTGCTTATTTATTAGAAGAGAAGAGGTAATTAAGTCTCCTGTATGCAAAATAAATGATCTGAAAACGGGAACGGTGGAGTTGAGAGCATGCGAAGCTCCATGGAAGGTGCAAAAAGAAAGCAGAGCAGCACCAAAGGCAACGAAACCGAGGCAGACAACCCGCTGTGAATGGCGGCTGTGTGTCTGCATGCTGCACTCACACCAAGCATGGGAAATTTGGGGTGGATCAGGGGCTTCAGAGCAGTGCGTTCTGTGGGAGGGTGGGCTTTGCGTGGAGCAGAGGGGAGGTGGAGCATGGTGAGGCGAGGTGTGGGTTGTGCTTACGTGCAAAGAATGTACTGACTCCTATTTCTGTCTGTCTGCCTATCTGTGCCAGGACCCTGCTCCACAGTCCTGGCCTTTTCTCAGGGCTGGGCTGTGCTCTTGGTCCCTGAATGTATCAGAGCTGTGCCCGTGCTCAGGCAGATAGGTTCTCAAAGAGCGCCTTTGTTGTTCCTCCTGCAGCTCTTTGGGGCTGTTAGCAGTGTTTCTGTCAGCACACAGCCCGTCTGCCTTGGCTGCTGCCCATTTCCCTGGCACAGCTGTAACCACGGAGTCCTTGCAATGCAGATAAGCTTTGCATCTGGCTCTTATTGCTCTGTGGGCTTGTTAGAGACCAAAGGAACTGGGGCTGTTTGGTCTGGGGAGGATGAGGCTGAGGGGAGACGTTATTGCTCGCTTCCAATACCTGAAAGGTGAGATTGGGTTGGTCTCTTCTCACTGGTGACAGGATGAGGGGAAATGGCCTCAAGTTGCACCAGGGGAAGGTTTAGGTTGGATATCAGGAAAAAAACTTCTTACAGAAAGGGTTGTGAAGCACTGGAATGGGCTGCCCAGGGGGGTGGTGGAGTCAGCATCCCCGGATGTGTTCACAAAGCACCTGGATGTGCTGCTCAGGGCCGTGGGTTTAGCAGAGGGTTGTGAGTTGGGGGAGTATGGAGAGGTTGCAGTTGGACTTGGTGGTCTTTAAGGTCTTTTCCAACCTCAGCAATTCTATGATTCTCTGATTCTTTTGCAGCTTCAGACTCCTGTGATCATCTGTAAGACTGCATGATAAACGTAGGCAGTAATGACGTTTCTGAGCCTTCCACGCCGTGCTGCTGTGGTTCTGATCTGCTGCAGAGGAGCTCAGCACTGGGGTTGAATGTGTGCACGGATTTTAAAGTGAGGTAATGAGCGTGCTTTAGAAAGCACGTGCATGGGCGTTTCATCTGCTTACCACCCTGTAGATGAAGAAGCTCAGTTTAAGTGAGAAGGATACGCAAGGGTGGGTAACACTTAGTGGAGCAGTTAGCTCATGTGGATGTTTTGCCAGGAGTTGCAGCATTCATGCAAACAGAAGGCACTGTAAGATTGCCTCTTATCTGATCTATCAGCGTGCTGTGTGTTCTATCTTGCTTGTAACTAGAATTTCACGTGACACGAAGCAGTTGTGATTAACTTCAGGCTCTCGTGCTGCATTTTTCCTTGCAGACAAACGTTTTTGCTGCTGGGAGATGAGATAAGGCCCTGCACGTTGCACTGACTGCTCTGTGTCTGAGCAGTACATGGAAAGAGGAGCTTTTAGCAGAGATTTCCACTTCTTCCCCCACTCATCTCTCCTGTAGGAAACTAATTTTGACATCACCTGGGCTTCGCGTGGTGGCTGTTGAGTTCTCTCTAAAAGTGAATGTATTAACCATATATTAATGCTTCGTATTGGCAAAATATCCCACATTGTGTAAACAAGAACAGAGAGTGAATTCTGGAGCCTGACTGACTGATCTGTTTGTAGGGATGTGTAGTTTGGCTCTGAAACTCGGGTGTGTGGCACAGTGAGCGTGGATGGACAGCTTGGGGTGAGGGTAAAGAATGAACTCCTAGGAATGTGCACACATCTGTGAAAGCCTTGGGCGCATCTGCCTCTGTATTTTTGGGAGGAAGAGCAGTAAGATTGGTGTAGGCACAGATAGCATTGCTTTCTGCAGTGCCTGTGTAGGAACCAAAGCCAGGCTGGGTTCAGAGGAGCTGATCTGGTACAGAGGCTCTGTCTGTGCTTTGGAGATGCTCTGGGACACATCAGTAACACACAGCTGAAAGCCAGATAGCAAGAGCTGCATGTCTGTGCTTTCTGCTGTAAAAAAAAAAAAAAAAAATAATAACAACCAAACAGAAAATGCAGTTTGCATGCTGCTGTGGTTTTTTCCTGGTGTCAGAGTTGTTCTGTCTGAAATACTCATGCTAGGGGAATTAGACCACAACATAGAATGCAGACCAGAACATAGAATGTGAACCAGACCAGACCGTAGAATGTAGGACAGAATGTAGACAAAATGTAGAGCAGAACATAGATCAGATTGTAGACCAGAGCATAGTCCAGAAGGTAGACCAGAACATAGAATGTGGAACAGAATGTAGATAAAATACAGGCCAGAACATAGAATGTAGATCAGAACATAGATCAGAACACAGAATGTAGACCAGAACATAGAACATGGAACAGAAAGTAGGACAGAATGTGGACAAAATATAGACCAGAATGTAGAGCAGAATGTAGACAGAATGTAGACAAGGATGTAGACCAGAATATGTTCAGTAAAAATAAATAAAATTTAAACTATTTATACTCTTATGCTTCTGAATAAGAAGCCACTTAAGCTATGCATGGCTGTGTTTGCATGCCTGATGCATCTCGTTTGATTGAAAGCCTCAATGCTTCTCGTTCCTTTTAGGAGTAGGAGAGAGGTCTCCAGGTTTCATCTTGTTTCATTTTTATGCCTTTTTGTGCATTTGCTGTTCCTTTGGCTCTGCCAGGCTGCAAGTTGGCAAAAAAAATCAACTTTAGGCTAACGGAGTTGCAGCTATTCTGGGGTACTGTAAGAAAGCTACAGGAGAGCCCAGTATTATTTCAAGTGAGTGTTGGTTTTTTAATTGTGTTTACCTCTAGTGTAGCTCCCAGATGCATATTACTTTTGCATATTACTCATTATAGAAACATCAGGTTGGTTTTCCTTCCTCTATTTGTGCTCTTCCCCTTCCTCTCTCCACCCCCCCTTCCCATCCGGCTGTTGTTACATCCCTGCAGTGCTGTGCATCCGACTCGCAGGGCCTGACATCGACCGCGTGGAAGCTCCCAGCTCCTCCAGTCTGGTGCTGCTGAATGGCTGGAGCTGCCCACCAAGGAGGTGCAGACAGCTGGGAGCTGCGTTGTCTCAGTATGTGTTGGTTGCTATTTCACCCGTGTCACCTCCTGTGTCTTCGTGGTAGGTGGGGTGCTTGGATTCTGAGCAGCAGCAAGGTGTTCCTGAGTGTGCACGTGTGCTTTGTGATCAGGTAGTGGTGTGTTAGGTGTGTGAGTCAGGCAGCGGGGGGAGCAGCTGGAGGATGCTGAGTGTAGCAATGCACTGTGAAGAGCCTGCTTGAAAAAGGCAACTGATCTCCGGATGGAAGGATTGGGAGTAACAACACTTGTCTGGGGGGTAGGGCTGACTTGGCTGAGTGCTTTAGAAGTCAGATAGGATTTTAAGGCATCTGGAGCTGTGCTCCTGCAGGTGACAGTCCCCATCCTGTGCATGGGACGCTGGTTGTCCACAGGTGGCTGCATGTGCACCCGCTTTCCTGCTTGGATGCACGGGCACTGCTCTTCTGTGATGGTAGGGATTAAAAATTAAAGCATACATGATTTAAAAAATGCACTGTTTAATATTTGATCCCTGGAGTTACATCTGTGGGGCAGGGGGTGAGGGCAGTGCTGGGAGCAGTGCTGCTGCAATGAGAGTTCCAAAGAGTTTTAAGGCATCATAGGATCGTAGAATGGCCTGGGTTGAAAAGGACCACAGTGACCATCTAGTTTCAAACCCCTGCTGTGTGCAGGGTTGCCAACCAACAGACCAGGCTGCCCAGAGCCACATCCAGCCTGTGTGCTAGTGAACTGAATATTGTCTGGTGTTACACAGGTACACTTCTGTTGTCTCCAGATTGAGCTGGCAAGCAGAGTGGTGCTATTTCTCTAAAATCTTGATAGTAAAGATTCTATGGTTACACATCTGCTCCTCTCCTGTTGGTGACGTAGAACTAATAGCAGTCTGCATGTCTTGTGTGATGGTGTGCCATTCAGAACCGCGTGGTGGAAATGCACAGAACACACAGTTTGCTGTGGGAGCTGTGAACCCAACCTGTGCACACTGATGTGAAATAGCAGGAATAATTCCAAGGATTCCTCCTGTTGGCATCAGTGCTTTGGTACAGCAGAGCTTCCATCTTCTGCCCAAGATAACACACAGCAGTGCACAAAGGCTTTGCTGTCTCCAACCCTGTGTTCTAGAGCCTGGACTCCTGCACTGCAGCACCAACATCTTATATTCAGCATTCAGATGTGTGCTCTGGGGTTTGGGTTGGATTCATGCACTGGTGTGATGACAAACTTCATGCAGATGGATGGAGGTGTTTCCTGCACATGGTTACACCACGGAAGAAGGAAGCAACGACGTTTTATTGCACCTCTAAAACCAGAAAATGGGAAGAATTTGTTATGTTTTGTGGCAGTAACATCTCTGAAACAAGCAAGCTGCCTGGATCTGAATGGATAAAAGTGGCACAAAGAGAGATCTCTGTTTTAGAGCTCAGTGCGTTGCGTTGGTCTTCTAACAGTGTGCGGAAAGTTGGTGGTGTGACTGTTGGTGTCTGTGGGGTGGTTGGGGGATCATCAGGGCACTGAGATGATCAGAGGGCTGGAGCAGCTCTCCTATGAGGAAATGTTGAGGGAGCTGGGCTTGTTTAGCTTGGAGAAGAGAAAGCTCCAGGGAGACCTGGATCATTGTGGCCTTCCAGTGCTTGAAGGCAGCGTATAAACAGGAGGGGAACTTCTGTTTATGAGGGTGAATGGTGACAGGACAAGGGGGAATGGTTTTAGAGTGAGACAGGGGAGGTTGAGGTTGGATATGAGGAGGAAGTTTTTGAGCCAGAGGGTGGTGAGGCACTGGAACAGGTTGCCCAAGGAGGCTGTGGATGCCCCATCCCTGCAGGCATTCAAGGCCAGGCTGGATGTGGCTCTGGGCAGCCTGGGCTGCTGGTTGGTGACCTGCACACAGCAGGGGGTTGGAACCAGATGAGCATTGTGTTCCTTTTCAACCCAGGCCATTCTATCATTCTGTGATCCTATGATTGTGGAGGTGTCCATGTTGGCACTGCAGTGCTGTGTTTTAACCGTAAAACCTCATCCATATGTGAGCAGTGTTAGTGCTGTGTTTTAAGGGAGCCTCCCATTAATCAGGCAGGCGTAATGCAGAGCGTGAGGAAGGGAGGGTGGAGGTGTGAGTCGCCATCCTGCACACCATGCACTGATAGTGCTCTCTCTTCTCTCTGTTCCACAGGTAAATTGTGTCCAAATCTCAGTTTAAGGGTTGCTATGTAATGTCATTGAGAAGTGGCATAGCAGCTGCCAGGTCTGTCATTGGAATGTCGGTCTCAGATAGACAGCCAGTCCTTGGGTGGGAGCAGAGTGGGTGCTCAGGTGCGTCTCTGAGTTCCACTTTTACTGTAATTCTAATTTTTAAAGTAACAAGTTGCTGACGTGTTTCATTTATGTATGTGCTTTTTTTGTACTGGTGAATGCTGTGGTGGAGTGGTGTGGGTTCGTACCTTTACTGTGCCAGTGGGTCTTTGCTGAGCTCAAGCACTGAGCAGCAGTGCTGGCCTGAAGCTGCTGCTTCCTTTCCAGGTTCTGCTGTGGAAGTGGTGATGTTGGAACTGTTGGGTCTTCCAGTGGATGAGGTGTGCTTCAGGAAGGGGTGTTGTGATGGAGGGAAGTGATCCATGGATTTCTTCTGCACTGAGCAAGGGGAGCACAGTGAGATGCAGTTGTTTATGCCTGGTTGGTGTCCTGAAGGGGATTAGCAGGCAACACGTCGCTCATGGATGGAATAAGCTTATAGCAGGAGGGCCCTCAGCTTAGAGCTGAAAGAGCATGTGAATATCAGTGCTGGAGCTGTTGCACTGTTCCTTTTTCCCATCCCTGCCCTGCATGAGCATCTCCAGAAGGGAACAGCTGAGATCATAGAATGGCCTGGGTTGAAAAGGACCACAGTGCTCATCTGGTTCCAACCCCCTGCTGTGTGCAGGTCGCCAACCAGCAGCCCAGGCTGCCCAGAGCCACATCCAGCCTGGCCTTGGATGCCTGCAGGGATGGGGCATCCACAGCCTCCTTGGGCAACCTGTTCCAGTGCCTCACCACTGTGCCTGAAGCACCTCCTGCAAACAGCACTGCCAGCTCAGCACAGTGCCACACTGCAGGGAATGCTGCCTCTTTGGGCAAGCTGTGCTGTAATCTCCACATTCCCTCGGTGAGAATGCTCATAAGTGGTTTCTGCACCATTGTTTGCATTGTTTTGCTTAAAAAGCAGCAAACTTTGGAAAATGTGATATCCTTATCCAGTTTAGATGGAAGATAATCCAATCTAAGCACAACGCTAAATGTTAGATCATTTTTTCTCCTCCTGACTCAATCTTGTTTGAGAAGAAAGGCTTCCTGGTGCGGCTGGCAGCGCAGCAGCAGATGATGCTGTGCTTTCTGTAGCACGTCTCAATGCCATAGATGGGTTTCTATAGGAAATTTCCTCTGCCTGAGGAAATAGAATTTGTTTATTACTAGTCATTGTTCCAGAGTGAAATAAAGGTGCATGGAGGTGGTGGTGTCACAGCAGAGCAGTAGGGATGGGGATGTGCTGCTCTTTGCACCAAAGCTGGACGTTGGGATGTATCCCAGGAGGGAGCAGTTTCCTCCGACATGCTCTGTTTTGCAGATGGGGGGAGTGAAGAGGATGCTCACTATTGTCAGCAGGCAGATGGTGACTGTCTGAGCCGCAGGATAGGATGTTCTTGATAAACACACATTGTTCCCATAGGCTTTGGGCCGTCCGTGTGAATTGCCCGAGGTGTCTGCGTGGTTCCTAACTTTGGGCTCTGTTTGGGTAGGGGTAGATTTCAAGAGCTCCATTGGAAATAAGTAAACCTTGGGTTTGGGAAGTGCTGCTCGCTCCAGTGCCATCGCTGTGGTTATTTGAGTGCTGCTGTCCGTCTTCTGGCCATCCATCCAGCCAGCCCCATAACAGCTGCCTTCAGGGCAGCCAGTTCTCCCAGTCAGATCTCAGTGGATTTGCACCTTGTGTGCCATGCCTGTACATCTCCATACCTGCACGTATTGCCCACTGCAGGCTGAAATCAGAACCAGCTGCATTCTGATTTCAGCAAACTGAGCTGCCATGAGCGGGATGGAGTGGCTCTGGGCACACTGCAGCACTCAGTGTTCTCTCTGTACTCTGTAATTTCAAGTGTGCTCACACAACGGGTTCATTTATAGCTGCTTTTACTTTAAGCACATTGCTTAAGTAGTCAGACCTATTCTAAATAGCACTTACCTTTCGTCTTTGATGAACTATGTGTGTAAATGTGCCCTTTCCTTCAAGCACTTATCCATGTGTATGCTGTTCAGGGGCTGGGATGCTCTGAGTGCTTTGTCCCTGTGGTTTTCGTGCCCTCCTTTCCTATCTTTCTTGAAGGCCAACAGCTTTTGTGTTGGAGTGAAGGTGTGTGGCTGGGTGCTGCAGCTTCATTTGAGGAGCTGATAAGGCAGCAAATGTATGTGTCCCAATATGGTGTTACCAAAGGTGCTCACATAAGGGGATGTGGGGATTTTGGGGCAGGAGCTGTGTCCTGAGGTACATAAGTTGTGGTTGAATGCTTCCAGGTTGGGTTAAGCATTGACCGTTCTCTTGGAAATTCCCTTGTTCTGTGGGAGCCTTAGGGAACTGTGGAGTGGCTTTTTGAGTTCTGTGGCTCCAGGAGCTGAAATAAATCCACAAATAGCTGCTGCAGTGGCTGAAGGCATTCCATGCTGGAGGAAGCCTGTGCCTGTGAGTTTGTGCTGTGCTCCAGAAAAGGTCAAAGAAGACAAATAGAGTCCAGTTCTGCCCAGGGTGTGAATGCTACGGGGGGCAAGGAAGGCAGATCTGGAGTGCGTGGTGGTAGGGGATGAAATCTTCACTGCATGGTGGTAGGGGCTGACCTGCTGGAGAGGAGCAGTGGGATTCCTGGTGGATGACAGGTTGCCCATGAGCCATCAGTGTGCCCTTGTGGCCAAGAAGGCCAATGGGATCCTAGGGTGCATTCAAAAGAACGTGGCCAGGAGGTTGACAGAGGTGATCCTCCCAGTCTGCTC